TATCTGGCAAGGCCACTGATGTCCGAACGCGTGAAACACGGAAATGGCAAAGATCAACCGATGGATGTATGCACTGAGAAAACCCCAGTTGACGCAACTCTTATGGAGCTGACAGCCAACATCGTAAAGCAGACCGACCATGTAGTGCTGAGGTAGGTGTTGAAAGAGAGTCTCGACAAGCACCAACACATAATGCTGTTTTTCGCCGGCAGATCACATATTGACGATCCATATAACACGGTCATGGCGGCAGAGAAGAGCCATCAGTGCAGTGACGGCGAAAAACTGTGTGCTAGCCTTTTCACGTGTTTCATTGGCGGCTGTAAAGCTCTTCTCGCAGCCAGCCAAAACAGACTGTGGAACCTTCAATGGACCATCATAGCCATCCTCTTCATCCGAGTCATGATCGGTTTTACTACTATCAGACGGTTTTTGGCGTTTCGGACCCTTCTTAGCCTTGCTCAGACGAATGCCCTCAACATATTCCTCCATCTTTGATGCGGTGGCATCTGATATGAAGACACTCCGAGGGTGCTCACGGGGTGGGTCAGACTGTCCTTCATTCTCTTTTTGCTTGAAGCATGCATCGACACATACAATGATATCGGGGCTGGTAATTGAATACGTCAAAAAGGTGACAGATATGGCAACGACACGACCTACACATTACCTCCAAGCCTCTGATTTGGATCTCCCCCGAAGCATAGAGGGCACCATGAACGAAGATAATCACTGGGGCGGTCACGTGGGATTGGCATTGGAAAGGGAGTCCTCAAGCCATCAGTGTCTTCCGAACGATGTCGCTTCCAGCCATTAGTGTCTTCCGAACAATGTCGCTTCCGGGAAATGGGGGTGGAAGGTGGAACTGTTGAGCTGTTGAGGGGTGTCGAGGGCCGGGGATGTCTTGCGTTCGGAAGCGCATCTTCATCCTCGATTTCAACCATGGTGACTGGGGGTGGTCGGGTGCTAGTATCTTCTGAACGATGTCGCTTCCGGGCAATGGGGGTGGAAGGTGGAACTGTTGAGCTACCGAGGGGTGTCAAGGGCCGGGGAAGTCTTGCGTTTGGGAGCGCATCTTCGAGAGGAAATTCTGGTGCTGGATTGCCTTCAACGGCGTCAACACGAGGTGGTTGTGTGGTGCGAGGAGTTGACTCGTTTAGAGAAACAACTGCTGTTGTATGAGACCCATCATTATAACCTGTGATTATCGTCCGAACATGGTAGAGGACATTGCCAACATGTTTGGTAGTAGCGTCTTGAAGTCCGTTGTACCATTTCAAGGCTTCACTAAATCGGCGGCGGAGGGAATCCTGAACTTTCGGTCAGACCAAATTCACCTACCATTAACGCAATAAATACCTGAGTAGTAAGTTTATAACCTTGACTTTGAAGAAACTCTTCAACGGTGTTGCACCATGCAGTGGCATTGGGGGAAACATGAAGAAACAGTCGGGATACAAAGTCTAGAACTCGGATATCAACAGCCAGGGACGGCGCAAATGGTGCGGAAGGAAATAATCCGCGTTGAAGCAGCTGAACTGCGGCTGGTCGACAATTGCAAAATTGGAGTTTTAGCTTTTCAAGAACTGGAGTGCACTAGTTAGTATCTCAATTGCCTTGAAAACAGGAAAGAAACATACTGCAGAAACGAACCACAATAACATCTACTGCTCTTCTGATACATTGACAGTTGTGGGTGGTGGCTATAGCGTCCTCGGGGATTGGCAGGCGAAAAGATTCTGTCGAAGAAACGAGCCGCATGTACGGCATAATGAGGCGAGGGATCACTTCTTTTTTCCAACGATTAGTTTGGTGAGAAGTCCGTTGCACGCGGGAGTGAGAATAGTGTAATCGGACGCGCTGACAAGATGCGTGAACACCTAAACAACACACACACACAAAACAGAATTACCACACTTGTTTTGTTAGAACTTAAGTAGAAGTTCGGGGAAACGTTTTTTGTATATTTTATATCACTTGTCTAAGTCTAGTAGACCTTTTTGGAACTAAAGGTATTGTTTTACGTGCGGACACAGTGTAGAATTTGAAACTTTAGTAGTCTTCGAAGGGAAACAGCTTTTATTGGGACTGTCTCGGTGTTCTGGGATTGCGCTCTAACTGTATACGAAGAAATGACAAGGAAATTGTGCTTTGTAGACTTTTATAACTCCCTTGAGTTTTTATTATGCCTCTGATGCGGTCCAAACTAGTCTTAAAGACTCCTCAAGCACGCTCACTTGGATTCCTCGGTAATAGTAGAGAGCTCTCTTACTAATTGACGAGACAACCTTACAAAAGCTTTGTGATCCCCACTTAACACACTGGTTCCGGGCACACGTTACTTATGTCTGCGAAGAAAAGTCCTTAAATTGATTACAAACTTATCCACTACCTCAGATGCTACTGGGAGTGCGACAGCTGGTCAACGCGGGGGATAATTCCTTGCGTTTCAGCCTGCGCGCGTCCTCTTTTTATACTATTCTATGTCTTCTATTTATATTTATATGTCCGTGTGTTGTCCGTGCGTTGTCCGAGAGGTCGGACGAATTAATACTGATTTTTAGTAAAGGTTTGAAGTGGCTCGATTGTGCGTGGCACAACTGAGCTGACTTCTTTTAAGTTTTCGTAGTGTTTTCTCTATTGTGGCGACGCGACGCATCAGTATTGATGCATACACGGGAATCGCCGTAAAAGGTTTTCACGATCGGTTCAGCCGAGACGAACGGTCCGCTTAGTGATTTTTCTCTCTATTATTAGATACTATGCCCGGGCCTCGGACCGCACGGCAAATCGTTCATAGTTTTTCTCTTTTGGCAGGCTTCGGAATATTTCACGAAGCTTAGTTTTCTTGGGTCAATGATGGTATTGGGCCCTCATAGGGTAGTCATATTGGCATGGAGTAACTACCCTAAGAGGGTAGGGTTAGGTGGTTGCCTGAAGTGAGTTGTATGCCAGTTCAGATATATTAAGATGCTAAAGCGCGCTGCTCGAGGGCATGATCCTGGTGGCATTACTGCAACACGTCCTGGGGAATGTGGGGTCTTGTGTCCAGCATGTCCCCAGCCAGGTAAGAATCTTCCGGAAGGATGGCAGGATGCGCCTCCCGAATTACGGTAAAGGTTTCATCAACAACTCACATAATAAATAAAACTTACTTTTCGAGAACAGATTCCTCTACTGCTTGTTTCTCGCTATTGATGCCAACTTTCGATTGAAGCGGAAGGCGGTGTCAAGTGATGAAGCAGACCCCAGCCTTCTGGATGGAAAAGCTTACTTCGTCGCAGAGAAAGACTCCAAGAACTACCTGAAGGAGTTTGGAGATCTCATCATCCAGGAGGTGAGTACTTGATGATTTCATCCTCTCCCTTCTGAATTCTTATTTTTCTGATGTAGCCCAGTACATGTTTGAATCACAATGCAGTTAATGCTGAGCGATCGTCAACTGGACTTGCTGCAACTGGTGACTGGTGTTGGCACCATTGATTGCTCAAGACATGACATCAAGCGACCAACTTCAGTCGGAGATTTACAGAAGGGCAAACGGCATGTATTGGATTCTTCTCATATTATATCATATTTGACTCATTCCTGATCAATAGATACGTCAACATGGATTACCTTTTTTTCAGTAGTCTCAAACACAGTGATGTCACAGAGATTGTCGTCTCATATGATATTGCATGTCAATGGAGCAAGAACTTGTGGAACCGAATGTCATCTTACCCTCACTGGATGCACGTCGACCATGACGGTGAGAATCAATTTCACTTCCTTGTCCCCAAGTTCCACCTCCCCACACACATCATGGCCTGTCAAACCATATTCTCATTCAACTACAACCGCAATGTGGGCCGCACCGATGGTGAGGCGCCTGAATGAGGGTGGTCACATATCAACCCCATTGCAACAAGTACACGTGAGATGGGCCCAGGCTCACGTCGAGACACCCTCGACAATCACTTCGGGGCATGGAATTGGAAAAAAACCAAATTAATGGGTGCTCTCTTTATCTCTTTATTATGGTTCGCTAAACTAACACAACAACTTACTAGGCCCAACTCTGCTTCGAAAAATTAAACTGGCTGTTGTTGGCATGAATGACCATGTCTTCCTTCATAATCAATTTGTTATCGGCATTGCGGACGACAATCTTGTTCAAAAATGGGAGAAGGAACTCATAGATTGGGAAGAAGATCATCAAAAACCCCAATACTTTCCATTCCTCCACTGATTCCTACTGGAATCCCTAGATTCCGGCTGGAATCGACAGGAATCCAACTGGAATCAACAGAAATTGAACACTAGGACTTCTGGTTAATTAATTTTGGACCCTGAATCTCCTTCTTTAGGTCAGACAAATAGAATTGTAGCACTAAATCTTTTACTAAACAAGGGCATAAGGCATCCGACTAGTTACTTACTACTACATGGATTTATTTATTTCAATCAGATTCAGAGACATTAGATTCTGCATGTTGTTCATCCAAACCCAAGTCTATGTGACTTCATGCCTATCATATTTATTGTAAGTCTAATGTAGTCAGCCAATTTATTATTATATCTTGTCCTATAATAACCTCACAAGTGTCTTCTGGGGATCCTCAGAGTCGACCGC